TGAACTGGAAGCCAATGCCCCCTTTCATGCACTTCTTATGGGTTACCATGATGCTGCCAACAGTGCTTTGACCTCGATTTTTGAAGCCTTGTCTTTTGGAGCAGATTTTGTGACTTGTTCCTTTTCAATTCTGAAGAAGCTGTCCTTGGTTTTGCTCCTTGTCATCCCAGAGTTAACCAAATGTTTCTTCTGGCTTTTTCAAAACCATCTGTATGCTACTAGTTAGGAGAGTTAATCAAATCCTTATAATATACATGAGTTTACTGGGATGCTGAAGGACAAAATATGCCTTCTTTCTCTTAGCTCAGTGTTAGCTGGCCAGGGGAGCAGATCATAGTCAGACACACATGACTCTCTCAGCTCTTCATTGCTCTCTACTCTTGCTGTCACCACAATCCACAAAGCTCCTCTGCTACCCCACAGCTCCTTCTCCATTTATTCTGTGTTGTTGGAATGGTAGCCTAATCCATGTTGTGTTACTTGTGTGAGCCAGACTGAAGCTCTGTGAGTTGTGCTTTAACTTTGCCTTAGCCGTGGTGGAATTCCCAGATGATTGCAGGAAGTGGTCCACAATGTGCAAGAACACTAAAAATATCCTTAGAGATTAAAACTAAAAGAGCAGTGTTAAGGTTTATCTGTAAAGGAGAGAACAGCATGAGGGGGACCCTCAGACTGAAGGTAGCAGTTTGGCTTTTCCTTCTTCCTGGAAACCTGTGGGGTTTTTATGCTCTTGCCATGCTGTTGAGGCCACCCCAGGTATAGGATGAGGAGAGTGCTGGAGCCAAGGGCTCCTGAGGAGAGGTGGCAGTGGTCCCTGTGCCCAAGGGACAGCTTTTCTTGTACAAGCAGCATGGCAGGTGGGATGGGCTCCAGGAAAGGTTCCCTCAGCTCTCATGACTCTCCTGCTTCTCCCATATCTGGGCACTTTTCAGGCCCACCATAACCCAATGCACTGAGCCACTCTCATGGATGGCCCAGTTACAATGGCTGTTTGTGATGTCACCAGTCCCCTGAGTTCTCTGGCACTACAGAAGCAGGGCCCTGTGCAGCTGTCCCCATCCGCCCAGCTCTGAGGCCCTTGATGAATGTCTGGAAGAAAGAAAAGCCAGAGCAGCGAGGCGGGTGGCACACCAGCTTTGTCAGGGACAGCAGCAGGGCCCCTTCCAATGATGACTGAAGAGGAAGGCATGTGCCAGGAGGAGGCCATGGCAGAGGAGGAACAAAATCACCCCTCTGCCATGAGTGCCACCGCCCTCAGTTCCCTGGTCACAGCCATGCAGAGCTTGGCTCTGTGCCCACCAGGGAACGGTGTGCAGCTCAGGGACATCAGCCTGCCAGGGAACCACCGGAGCAATGAGCGGGGCGGCCGCCCACCTTTGTGTGGGACAGCACAGAGACGTGTCAGGCAGCGGCCAAAGAGGCGGTCACTTTCCCTGGGCCTGAAAAATGGCAATCGCCAGTGCAGGAGGAGGAGGGGAAGGAGAAGAAGGAGGAGCATCAGCCCTTGCACCATGAGAGCCATTGCCAACATGCGAGGAAGGACATCCAGCGCGTGCCGCCAGGAATTCTGGCGGCTCAAAATCCGCACCTGCCTGACTGAAAAATAAGCAACAAGACAAGGATGAAAATCCTGTCATCCTCCTTATTTGGTACTTTGGTGACAGCACCTGTGCTCCCATGACCCCTGAAGTATGAGATGTTTTTTACAAACTTTAGAAACTTTCCAGTTCCATGTCCATAGCCTGCTTTGCTGCTGCCACCTTACAGCCTGGGATTTTTTAGGCTATGACATCAACAATTTGAGACTAGTGTTTTTAAACTGAGTAAAGTTATCATAAAGAAGGCATGGAGCCCCAGGTATTTCTTCTCTGCAAACGTGCTAGGGAATATTATGGAGTTCAGCCTCCACATGGGGCCTGTCCTACTAGCTCACCCATTCCATCTCCTGGCATCAACAATCATTTGTTGATTGCCATGCATTATATAAGCCCTTCCTTCTCCCCTACCCCACCCTTCCTGGAGCTCCTCAGGGAAAGATATGAATTGACCTGGCTTTCACCAGGCTACTGTGCTGAGGTGACTGGAGTTATTCCCAAGAGAGCCACTGAGGTTCCTGGGGTTGGGAGGTGGGGTTCCTTCAGTCTGAGGTCAACAATCCCTGATGGATGAGTGAAGTCAGCCTTGCATAAATAATATTAGCAGACCAAGCCAAGAACGTAGACAGCTGTTTCTTTGGAAGGAAGAAGTGCTGGCCTTCACATGGAGGTCCCTTCTAGCTGCTTCATAGGAAGTTCTTTTCAATGTTGGGAAATAAATTTTAAAAAACCAAACCAATAAACCAAAAAAATAACAGCAAAATTTCTTTCTTCCTCTCTTTTTTGGGATTTGGTGAGTGCCTATGGAATCCTCTGTCCCCTCTTGGTCTCCACAGCCCTGGAAAGGTAATGATATGTGGGGTACAGGCCCAGCCCAGGCCTTGGAGATGGTGAGGAGTTGGGGCCCATGGCGCACAAGGGCAGGCCGAGGGAGCTGCCTCTATCCATGAGGGTGGGGTGGTGGTGGAGCTGGTGCCCAGTGAAAGTGTGGATGTCCCATCCTTGTCAACATTCAAGGTCAGGTTGGCTGGGGCTTTGGCCAGTCTGATCTAGTGCCAGCCACACCACAGTGTTCAGTCAAGCCCTTATGTCATTCTCCTGTGCTTCCAAGGAAACTGTGGGAGATGTGCTGGAGCTCTGATGTGGATACAGGCACAGCCCAGTGTGAGGCTGACACCCTTTCCCTGGATTGTCACAGACTGGAGAGTGCTCCCTGGCTGTCACCAGAACTGTGACACTCTGAGGTAGACAGGAGCATCCCAAGTAGGCATCCCTCTGCATCTACGCACCCACCATGGGCCTCCAGGACACTCTGCTTTAATGAAATTAATTGGATTCCCCTGGTCTGCACCAGCTCCATGCTGGGTGCCAGTCAAGGTGGGGTGCCCCACAGAATTGCTCACATCGGTGCTGGGATGGGGTGTGGGGGGAGTGTCCATGGCAATGCCACCCACACAGCTGGGGCAACTCATGGGAAGGGCCTGTGCCCCATCCAGAGTCATCACCCAGCCCTGCTTCATGCCAACCCCACCAGCCCAGCCCCCCAAGTGTCTGTATCCCTGAATTATGGCTCTGGCCCACCAACTGCCCTCACCACCACAGCTGCCAGGTGCAATTGGTCCAAACATACCAGTAATCCTTGTAATCTGGGAATCCATGTAACCTGCGAATCCACCAGGTAGACATCACCAGGGGAAAGTGGATTTGTGTTGATCAGGAGCTCCTCGCGATGGCCATTGTTCTCCAGATGGGAGTTGCCCAATCCTCTTGGCACAGCGTTACTGTGTGCTCCTAGAATAATTATGCTGTACCAGACATTTTCTCCCAGGTTTGCAAACCTCAGCAAAGGGGGTCCCCTTTTCAATGCCAGGTCTATTTCCCATTGTTTCAAGCCCTAAAAAGAATGTGAACCCCCATTTTTATATGGAAAATAAGGAGCTGAACTCCCTTTAACATGTGCCTTGCAAGGGCTGTAATCCCTTACACTTTAGGAGTTGTTAGGGCTACTTTTAACACTGTGACAGAGCTAAAGTCTTCCCTTTCTTTGCAGCCAGGTGTCAGAGAGCCTCAAGAGCTCATACCTGAGGTGTCAACGGCCTTGGCAGCCCCTCCCCAGGGACCAGTAAATGCTCTCTGAACTTAGCCTTGCCTCCTGTAGCAGCTCACCAGCAGCCTTCAAACTGGGATTCCTCCTGTTGGAATAACACTTCCTTTTCACCCTTTGCCTCAGCTTTCCCCCCTCTGAAACAGAAACGCCTACTTACAGGAGCATTTTAGAAAAGGACCATCAAATATGTGTCTCCAGCTTTCTCAACTATTGACTGCTCACTCCTACTAGAGAACACTCATAATTTGAAGGAGAGCTTTGCTGATCAAAGTCAGGCTTCTCAGAGAACTTTGATGAAGTAAGTAAATCAAAATCATAGGTCAGACCATCAGCAAAGCTGGAAATTTGAGATAAAGTCACAGAAGCTCAGGTCGATGCCCATTGGAAGCAGTCAGGCCCTTTAAAAGCACACGTTCCTTTACTTGTGATATTCCCCACCTGGCAAATGAAATGGCTGTATTTTCTGTTAATGCTAAAAGAAAGAGCTCATGTGTTGTTAAAACTAAATATTATGATAAAACTAGATTAAAAAAACCACAAATGGGCTCAGTTCTCCCTGGATATTTGAGAATGGTTACAGATTGTTTTGGGCGTTCCATGGGATCAGGAAGCAAGCAGAAAGTAAGATCACTGCTGGCCCCAAAAATACTCTAAAGAGCATTAGTTATCAAATAGTATGTGGAGAACACATAAATGTTTTAGAACTTTATGACCTAACTCTTTGCATTAGCAATTAACATCCATATCTTGGATTTTTAATTTTCCAGCTAAGAATAAGAAAACTATGCTTACCTTTGAGAACACAAAACAATCTAGTGCAATAATCTTCTATTTAAATGACATTTACTTGCAAATTCTAATAAAAATAATAAAATCCTATGTTTCTAACCTCATGTATCGCAAACATTGAGGAAGAAAAACTGGGTAAGAGTTAGAATATCTTATACATATCAATGGTTTTATACTGACCATGTATTTCAAAGCAAATGAATGCAACACCAGATCAGACAGACTGAGCATCCCAAACACAGCTGGAAAGGTTGGTCTGGTCAAGTGATTTTTCTCAGCTTTGGAACTTCATCAGTTTTTTGGAGGGGACACAGATGCCTAAAGAGTAAAGAGACACCCCTACTTTTTCTCAGTGATCTTCCAGGGATGGCTTAGATAGTGCTCACAGACCACTGCTCCTTTCTGTTGGGATCAAACACCTGCCCAAGTGCAAGATTACCCAAACTATATTGTTCATGACCGAGGAAATTGCAAAAATAAAGTTTAAATAGCACTGGAAACTCCTTATGTCAAATAATTCCATATCCAGTGGAAGTCATTTATTGAGGTGTTTCTGACCTTGGGTAGGGAAAGACATTATTGTTTCAAACAAAGTAAGTTTAATATTTCTGCACAGTGTTCTGTAGTCACAAACACTAAAATCAGTCGTTGCACATAGTGGTAAATAAATACATTTACTCCAGAATTCCAAAGAGTTTCTTTAAAAAAATTTAATTTGCAAAAGCACATTCTTGCAGCTTTATCTAAAACCTCTAAAGTCTGAACAAAAAGGGAGATGCCTGTCTACTCAAAACAGGCCAAGACAGTCTTGTGTGCAAGCAAGCCCGACATGTTACAGCTGTGGTGAAAAAACATGTCTGATTAAATATTAGTTCTCATGATTAGGTCATTTTTTGTCAAATTTGATATATTCCATTCTTTAAAACCCCATATAATGTAAAGACAATACAGACCATAACATATTTAAATTCTACTGTATAACATCGGTTTATTTAAGAAAGGCAAAGAGATTAATCAGAAAATGTTTACTGTGGGAATAAAAAAAATAAAAATAACTAATCTGCTTTTTCATTTTCTAGGGACAGAAACATTAATGTAGCACATTTTCTACTTCTTGAAGTTTAAGTAAACAAGTCAGAAAAAATTATTTTTCTTTACAGGCAGATATACTCTCAACATATTCTACAATTCTACAGCTGCTCCCAAACACTGGATCTTTCAGACTGCCATGAGTTGGATGAAGACAGTGTTGGCAAGTACCAAATCAGCTCAGTGGCTACTAGGAGCTCTCAGAAACAAACCATCTCTAGAGTATGTATTTTCTGAGATACTTCTAGAGGTGCAACAAATTACAAAACATCCTCCATAGACATGTTTTTATTTCCCTGTTTTTGAGTGTAAGAAATTGTTCAAAAAGGAGAAAAGCCCAAGTCTTGTGATCATGGGGTAGAGATTGGCTCACTGCATGGATGAATCCCACTGAAAAGTCATCTCAAAGGAAAAGCAAATGGTTCTCTGTAATAGATACTCACATGGAAAGCATGAGAGAGAACAACTTTTTGTAATCTTTTCAAGAGAAAAAAATCCCTTGCTCAAAATTATTTTAAAAGAGGTTTCAAGTAACTGATTCTTTCAGAGATATTCTGCAGTTATTAACCCCAAAGCAAATTAGTAACATGGTTTATGCTCTCACTGAACAGAGGGGAAAGAAGATATCACCAAAGGAGTTAAGTTCTTAAGATTGTATCCATATTGATATGCATGTGTGCACAAATGTTTGCACATATAAACCTAGAAAATGCTGGGAAAGTCATAAACTAAACCGATCCCACACTTAAAACTGACAATCCTGCTGGGCATGTATGTGTGTCCCATTTATATTTTGCATACAACTGTCAGAGGGGCTGAATTTCCTGTCACTGAGTATAGGATTTGAATTTGAAATAAACTTAGTTTCAATCACCAGAAAAGATGTTTACACTTTTAAGATAATAAAAAAAAATTAAAACTCCAATATTAATCTTTTTTATACATGTTTTTCAGTAAGCCTCTGTAAGTAAGAGGTTTGTGTTTTGTAGGCCTTGTTTCTTAGGGAAACTCCCTGTGATTTGCTAGTCCTTCTGCAGGTTCAGTTCCACCCTTAAATCATGGGCAAGGTTTCGTTTTTTCTAAATGCTCTGTGGAGTAGCAGTAATGACATCACTGAACTTGGCAGCACATTTAATGGAAAAGATGAACATTTTTCACCAACAGATATTCTAGATCCCCCGTTTGAGTGTCTACAAGTCTTCATGGGATGTATGTAAGAGCAAATTTTGGCCTCCCCTCCAAATCAAATTTTCTGAAGTGTTCGTGCCAGTAATGCCCAATTTTTGTGATCCAGTTAAGCCCACATTTAAACAAAGACAAGAAGACACGAGGACTCTGGCAGGGACACACAAGTGTGGCATTATGGTGACACAACGGAAGTTAGAAAGAAACACTGCCTACACCAGCAGGCTGGGGATTAGGTCTGACATGGAAATAAATGAGTGAAAATGACATAATGAAGAAATATGTACAGAAATTGAGCAGTTTAGATGAGAAACAAGTAGTATGGACAGAGTTCTTGCCAATATAACACAAGATAAGCAGTGACCATCAGTCTATCACCGAACACTGAATCCCATTACTCCCTCCAAGCAGTGCCAAGCAGTGTGCCCATTCATTCTCTGGCAGGGGATCACCCTCCTGCCATTCCCAGCACGTCCCACTGCCCAGCCTGCATGCTGGACTTCCTCCACATCTGCAAGTGGAGCTTGCTTGCACTTGGGTTTGCTTCTCTGCAACTGCACTCCTTGGATTCTGTGCTGCCTTTTTCTGGGTTTAGGGCTCAAAATAGTGCAAGTATAACAACAAGGTGATCTCTTCTGAAATGCACTGTGAACACAAGGAAAGTTCAATTAACTTAAAGAGCCTCAGGTCCCGGGTTTTGCCTTCAGGAGGAGCTCTTTCTTCAGGATTGGGAGAGCTGTAATTTAATGGCTTCGGTTCCGCATTTTCTCTGCTAAGCTTCCATGCAAGTCTCTGCAGCCGTGTCCTCTGACTGGTGACTGACACACAAGGTAGGGGACAGCACAGGGGGACAAACATGCACTGTGACAGAGCAGTGTGACAGTGAGCATGTGAGAGCTGCATGTCTCCATGAGAAACCTGCTGTGTGTGCTTTCCTGACATGGCTTGCATGAATGCTAAGAGGGGCTCTCATCCTCCAGATCCAGGCAGAAAGAAATGAGGAAGAAAAAGAGAAAGGAAGATTATTTTCTGAGAAACAAGCATACCCTCCGATGGGCGCTGTAAAATAAACCTACTTCTATGGGCATCGTTTACATCATGATCCTAGAGTCAAGCTCTGCTACACTAGTAAAGCATCCTGGCAGCCACAACATCCCAAGCAGAAAGCACATTGTTGTCAGGAAACTTAAATTCATCATACAAGTGGCAATAAATCAGAGAGTGCTGAAAACAACTGCACTGGGAAAACAGGACTTGGGAAATGTGGCCTCTGCTGTGCAGGTGCTGAGCTTTGAGTTCAGGAAGCCGAAAAACGTGGCACAGTAAGTCCTAAGTGCCACCCTGAGAGTGCAGAGGGGTGAATCCCTTTACATGTTCATCAGGGCTTGGTCTGAAACCTGCTCAGCACTTTAAAATTCCCCAACAACCTTGAAATGCCAACCTGATGAATACCCAAATGGAAGATTATGCAACCAGAACTGAAGGCCACCCTACTTCAAAATGAGAACATATACACAGGGATTTAACACACTTTAATTCACAGATATTGACTTTATAGAGCTTTCACTGACTTAGTGTTCTGGAGTGTCCCCCATATGGAAAAACCTGCACGTTTGAAAGAAGAGAAGGTTATAGGTGGGATGGAAAAAAAAATCAGGGAAATTAAAGCAAAACAAGGAATTTCAGTAACACAGATTACCATGAAGCTGAAAAGCATCTACCACCTGCAAGAAAGTATTTGAAGTGATACCAAATAGGAATTCAACCTCATGGACTTGTGCAGTGTAGTCCAAAAGACAGAATAAATGGTGCTTTGGGAAACAGGCTTGGGGATTTTCCGGAAAGAAAAGAAAACCAACAAAAACCTTGTCATAGTATCACTGGATTGAGTAATTCTTGAGAATTCCTCAGAGCTATATTCCACAATCAGCTTTGAGGTGACACTGTTAGAAATCTTGTAAGACTACACATCTCTGCTGCAGCCCTACTTTAAAACAGAACTTTGAACTAACAGTATACAAAATTTCTTTTCATTCTTTTTATAAAAAAACACTGAGTCCCCAACTAAATACAATTAGGAATGAAATAGAGCCTCATTGTTCGTTTGTGGGTTTTTTTGGTTTTTTGTTTTTTTTTTTTTTTTTTTTTACTTAGGAAAACTCAGTGGGCTTGATTTAAATATTTTGCTGAGCAACTTTTCAGTTCCTGACACTTGTTCAGTGTTCCCATGTTGTTTGGGGTCATTCTCATAAATTAATTTGCACAAAACTCAATTTCAGTGCAACTTAGTTGCCTGATGAAAACTCTGTAGTTACATGGTTTGCTTTTCCAGTATTCTAAAGTGAAACCGTTTAGTCTTCAGGATGAAGTTCAAAATGAAGACCCTCTGTCTCCTAGTGCTCACCCATGGCAACAGCTGGAACAGTAAGGAATAATAACATTCCTGATTGGGAAAAAAAGCCTTCTGCCAACCCAGCCATACAGCACTAAATGTCAGTGATTTTGTCTAGAAATCCTGGTTTTTTTTTTTTCTTGGATGAAAAGTTTATATTTTTAGTAACAAATACCAAACCACATGTAAGGCAACAGGAAATGAGGCAGAGTCTTTACTAGAAAACACAGCTCTATTTGTGTTTAGTACTGAAAATTTTGCCCTTCAGAAAATGTCGTGGTGCACAAATCAGCAGCATCATTAGGCAAAACCCAAGGAAAGCATATTATTATATAATATGCTGAGATATATAGATATATATATATAAAATATAATAGCTATGTTATGCTTTTTTCCATCAGGACTATCAAGCTCTGCTCATACCACAGCTGAGGAAATTACTGGGAAAAGCAGCTGCTTCTCAACCAAGCCTACTTGGTACACCTCTAACTACTTGAAAGACTGTTTTATTTGAGCTTAAACCACATCTTTGAAAATATTTTTTAAATAACTTAAAAATGCTGTAATATTTAAAGACACATCAGGATCAAGAAAGTTCTACTTCTAGAAGGCCAGGAGATTCTCCCTAGGGAAGAGAACAGGATGGTAATAATTGGGTTATCTTCTTCTGACTCAGACTTCAGGAATGAAGACCTCCTGCTATGAGGTGCCAGAGCTCCTAAACTTTTGTGAACACTGAACATCAAAGGCTGGACTTGATGGTCTTGAAGGTCTTTTCCAACCTTACTGATTCCATGAGCAGTGTCCAAAGTCCACCCAACACTCTGATTTCGTGTACCGGTGAGGTTTTGTACAGTGGCAAAATACGTGATCTCATGATGTAATTTTCCAGCACATCAAGAGTAAATGTTAAGATTACACTTACCTAGATAGTAGGCCTTAAAAAAATAATTTAAAATTCAAAAGGAGTGAAAATATTCCTGCTGTTATTTGGTAAGTAAGTCAATATAGGAAAGGTACATGATTACCTACATGATGCTCAAGAGTGCCTAAGAGAGTTAAGAAGTGCACTCTTGCCAGGACTTTGGAATTCTCATCACTTAGTGTGTCCTCATCACTGACAGCTTGCTGCAGTCACAGTCTGGCAATCTGCATGGAGCTGCAGGATCAGAAGCTTACTAAAGCTTACTATATCTCCTAAATGCAAACTCAAGCTGCAAACCAAGCTTAAGAAAAGAAAATTCTGAACAAATAACCTCCTTGCAATTTCATCCAAACTGTAAGCATTAAACCTAGCTAGATTTAATGTTAAAATCTATAAAAATGTGTATAAATTACATTCTGTTACTTTGAGAATTACTCTTACACTTCATAAATTACTGACACTTCTAATGGCATTGCGCCAACTGGGACAGCCTCACTAAGAAGCCACAGATGCAGGGTGAAATGTGAGAAACACTGTAAACATCCCAGCTGAGTATAAAGGGAGTATAAAGGTGGAAATCATGAGGCTCATTGTTTTTAAATCAGATGTGCATGACAGTCAAAGGGGGCAGTAACAATAATTCTGAACAACTGAGTCACATCCAAGGGAAAGGAAAAAAGCAAACAAAAATAGAAAAAGGCAATTTGCAGCACAATTGCCAAGTGTCTCAGTTTGCTACATAAAAGCATAAATAGGTGATTGCATTAACTGAACCTCTGCAATGTGTTCAGGAATAATAGTTTTAAAACAGCAGATGCTGCAAAGTAAAACACAACCAATAACACACACTGTCAGAAGGAATAGTGTATCAGATGGTTTGTCCTTACTGTTTTTTTCTGCACTTTTAGTAACCAAAAATAACACAAGGTTAAAAAAAATGAAGCCTCACTTAAATCCTTGACAAGAATTCAACAGCATCAAGATTTGATCCTAGGAGATTGGTCAGTTACGTGGTTTCTACATAGAAAGCAGAAAACTTCATATTTTGGTTGGTTAGGGAGCATTAACTTGAGTTCTGAGCACAGCAACACCACCTGTCATGCACCAGCCTCAAAGCACTCCTGGAAATCCTCTCAGCAGAGCAGAGATGGACACAGCCAGGCCAAAACCCAGGAGTTCCATTCAACCCATTGGAAGTGAGGCACAAAGAGGTTCCAAGATTTGCACAGTCAGACACTCTGTTGGGATTAAAGCCCAGGTGACCTGATCCCTAGGCCTGTGTTGGATCAGGGATCAGCCTAGAAGACTGTGTTGACTTTAACACAGATTTTGACTCTTCAGGACTTTTTTTTTTTTTTTTTTTTGGCTGTACACAAGCACAGAATAGATCACAAGTATTCCAGGTACTTGTGAGGTTCTGACTCTCCAGCAGGACTTTGTTAGAGTCCGTGTGCTTAACAAGCTTTTGTCAGAGTAATTTTCAAACTGCCACTGAAGACTTAAATAAAACCATGATAAGCTTCCAGTGTTATTGTATAATCCAATTATGATGTGAATAGGGAAGGTTTTCTCTCAAAAATGTGTGCACAATTTTTCTTAACAGTGTTCTCTTCCTAGAGCCGTTCAGCAACCAGGGTACTGGTTCCATTAAAGAGTTTCAGAAAAGCCACTTAATTCAAATCTTCTCAGTGCAGGTATAGCTAGACATACCCTTACTGAAAAAGGGTAACCGAAAATGTATAGGCAGTTAAATAAAATACAACATACAAAATAAGTTTTAATGCATTTTCATCCAATATACAGGCATTTGTGAGTATCAGCTACTGAGCTATAGTTCATAGCAAAACACCAAAGCATTGAGATAGTTGTGCAAATTCTTTTCTTAGTTCCTTGGCAAGCAACAAAAAGAACTGATGAATACCTACATAATTAATTTCAAACACTCACAGAGCAGAACCCTGGAAGGTACGTTTTGTACATGAGGAACAACAGGAACCTGATTGCATTAAGTAGCACATACAAGAGAAGCCTGCACCTACAGTTAGATTAACTCTACTGCAAGATTTATATGTATAAAACTACTTTATTCTAATAATCAAAATGAGGCCTTTTGAGAAATCTGAGTCATTACCCATAATTCTATTAAAGGTGACTGCTGTGCTGTCCTTAATTGCCAAGCAAAGATATCTGATTGGTGAGCACAGGCTTCTGTAAAAGCAGGAAAAAATCTCACAAATGATGTTTTAGGAGAGCAATGGGATAGTGTGGGGCAAACAGTTAGAATGTCACAGGATCAAACCCAAAATCTTCCCTCTGGCACCTGCAATATATTAGGAGAAACCTCCTCTGCCCAGAACACCAGGCAACCCCATGTATTTTCCTACTACAATAAACAACCAAAATAATCTGATATTGCTCTAGACTCATCATCCCTTCAGGCAAAAACTCTTTCCCCATCCTTGTTTTATCCTTATGTGAAATCACAAATTAATTAATAAAAAAATTTGTAAAAAGCTATGACACAAGAACTGAGAATGATTTTCCATAGTATGGACTGGATTGATGTTCTGATTTTTTTAATGGGCATTACCCAGGTAGGGGTAAGATTCTAATAGCACAAAAGTAGGTCTAATGCCCAATACTTTTAGAGAGTTCACTCTAAAAGTGAGCAGGTGTCTCTGCTTGTTTAAAGCCCCTCCTTTATTCACCACAAGGGAGCAAAACCTCAGAAAGTTTGAATTGATGGCATTGGTTCCCCATGACTGATAAAATTCTGTGGTGGCATTTGACTCCACAATGATATTTTTCAATTGTGCAGCCACCAGATTTTATTACAGAGCTTCACTCCAACTCCTTCAGTGCTAGAACCTCATGAGGACAGCCAGCTGGGAACTCCAGCACTATTATAAGGCAACTTGAAGAGATTTGCCCAGTAATTATTACAAAAACATTCTCACTGATTTTTTAACAGCAGAATTTATAACAAGAGCCTATGACATTACTGTTTTATGTGCTATATATTATCCTACAAAAGGAACAGAGCGATGCCTAGCTTCTAAAAAATAAACTATTTTAGGCCACCAACACAATTCAGTTCACAAAATCACTTTCAACCTTTTGGAAAAAAAAAAAAAAAAAAAAGAAAAAGAAAAAGAAAAATAAGGCAGCACTACAAAGGGAATCTAACAGCCTGCCTCCAGGCTTGTGGACAGCTCTGCTCACTTGCAACCAATGCTTTGGAAAACTGAATGTTTACTGAGAAAAATTCTGATTACATTTTAGGCAAGCTTTTTTATCTGCTACCTTTTAATGTGTTAATTTACTCTACTGAAAAGCCAAAGGGCCAAATTCACCCCTCTGATAAGGCTTCTACTGTAGGAGCATCACTGAATGTGCACCAAAGGCATTATTCATCTGTGGAGAGATCACTGAGCAATATTGTCAAACACTTTTGAGCTGCACATCCTTGAAGAGCAGATAAAGGAATTAGAAAGAGAATGAGAAGGAAACAGAACATCAGAGATGAAGAAAATTAGATAAAGGGCCAGGAAGAAACTGTTTGATGTAAACAGAGTGACAAGTTAGATTAAGAACTCTCATTAAAGCATGCAGCATTTACCCAAAAGCAATTCAGGCAAGGAATTTGTTTACAACTCTGCCAAAATCAACAGCAGATGCAAAAAAAATCATCAATATTGGGATTTTAAATAACATTAAATCTACTGTATCCAAGCATTCACTAAGACTGTGTGAAGGAAATACACAGCTTGGGGCCATTCCATTCTTTGTCACACTGAATAAACAAGGTTATGCCCTGCTGCACACTGAATGCAGGCCCAGCAGAAGTTACTAACAGGAGTGTACCACCAACTACTCCTTGGCTACTTCAGTGTGCACATGCCTCTGAAAATACTTACTAGTACCAAGATTTTATTACTGATGGGGAAGAAAATGCAATTTTGTGAGGAAAATGTAATTTCAGGTATTACTCTTTGCTAAGACAGAGCCTGGTTTGACCTTTCCAAGTTAAGAGGACATAATTTAGAGATCTGCTGGAAAGCTTGTGGCACCACCTTGCATGTGACATTTACCAGAAAATATCCAGGAAAAATTATCTATCAGAAATTATATAGATTCAAAATTAATCACTGAAACCGCTTCCAGAGTAGATGGTGAAGGCCAAGTGAGTCAAACCCAGTACCATGCTTAACAATAGTGAGAAATTAGGGTTTTGGCAAAGGGCATTAGGAGCAAATCCTATTCTAACTGAACCAGATTCAATGAGAATTTCTCATTCCTAGTCCCAAGTTAACATCCCCCTCTAGTGACCTCAATTTATTGTGGGGAGTTTTTCCCTCAGCAGCTCGTTGGCTGATGGCCCTGAACGATTCTGTCCAGATGATGGGAATTTGAGCCACCCCTTTCCTCCTGGCATGGTTACAGGTTAAAAAAAAAATACCTGGCTGGGGAGAACATGCAGTGAGAGTGAAGTTACACAATGTGCTGGCAGCAGAATTGTCCCAAGATGCTGAACTTGCAGCCTTTCCCCAGCCCTTCATTCTCACCCTTGTGCAGGAGTTCACTGCACATGAGTTTCCTTTCATGCCAGTTCCCTGGGGGGACCATGATGTGAGTCAGACCATTGTTATGATCTGGGTTAAAAATAACCATTCCTAAACCAGCTCCACCACTAAAGCCAGCAGATTGTGTATTTGCACCATGAGACACTCAGTTCCTTTGTCACAGTCTTGTGCCCGGAGAGAGGCAGAAAACTGTGTCAGGTGCCATTTTCTCAGGCTCTAAAGTGAGCGTGTGATGGGCAAGGCACAGAATTCGAGCCATGCAGATTCAGCCATTCCCCTGCTGCAGAGTTCTTCAAATCCACATCACACCCAAATAACAGCACTGGGAATTCTGACTGGTTTTGTAGTAGTGCAAACAAAAAATTCTGGTGGTCACTGGGAGCTAGTTTTTAAAGGCTGATATGAGGTAAGCAAAGGCCTAAGGGCCTTCTGTGTTAAATCCACAGTGAGATGACACATGGGGATGTGAAATTGTGGGAAACCACCAGCTACAGTGAAAAACAAAGCACCCATGTGCAAAGCCAAAGAATCGCCCTGCAGCTCATGACTCAGCACTTGGATCATTCATGGAGGGAACCCATGCTCCTTTCTCTCAAACAAAAGGTGTCTTTCCATTTTATACTATTGCATGGAAAGGCTCCTTGCAAAAAGGTGAGGGAAAAAAAAAAGACAGAGCTTCCTGTTAATTAAACAGAATATTTGACATGCTGAGTCTATCAATCAAACACTGTTTAAAGCCAGCAGACTTTCTTCCCAGAGATTGTTTAAAATATTAGAAAAACTGCTGGTAATTATTTATTTTCATCTCTTATCTGAAATTCCTTTGTCTGTATACTGGGAAGGAAAGCTGAAGGCAAAGGTGAAGAGCATATTTATTTAGTTCGTTGAAATTATACAGTCCAAATGGCACAACCTTGAGCTTTATGGCCTGTCCCCTACAGTCAAAAAGGGCCTGTCAACTATGAGACAATCAGATTGGATCTCATTTTTACATTGCATAATCTCTGGTTGTGCAGTACAGGAGTTTATAAGGAATAAAAAGGAGGGCCTGAATACACACAGTATAAAACACAGCTACTACTTCACTCACATTTCCACACCCTTCTGGTGATCATAAATTCTGTTACTCTGAGTGCCATTCTGACAACATTGCACAGAAAATGGCAGCAAGACCATTATTTTTGAAGATGTGTGACCATTATTTTTACAATGTGCTTTCAAGTTGCAGCTCCTGGCTTTTGAAATGTTCAGGACAGAAGATAACAATGTTCTTTGTTTGTTCTTTGCTTGTGTTTTGTTTTGAAATGGTATTTGTCTATATATTCCAGATAGATCAGAAAAATGGAAACGCAAAATCTGCACTATTTTAAGCTATTCTGTGGTCTGCCAGTGTCTCATTTGTATGCAGCATACACTAGATTTGCCTAGAAGGATTTAGCTCAGTAGCTGGCACGTTTACATCAGAGAACAACATACACAGTTTCAATTGATTTCAAGCATTCTTACAATGGGAAATAAATATGAAAAGTGGCTGTTGCTCAAAGTTCAAAAAATGAGATCAACAAATTTTAATAGCTCAAAAGGCCAGACAAATTTAATAAAATATTTCCATTTACCTTCCTCAGCTTTACACAGCCTGTTCAAAATAATCAGACTCTCTGCAGAGTGCCTTTATCCAATTGTTTATATCACTTCATACAAAATATGTGTTTGAATTACCACAGCAATACAAGGATATAAATTCCCAGCCCACAAAATGCCAAATTCAACATAAGTTATGCTTTCTTGGCATTGAGATGTTTTCCTTTTCCCTTTCTGTACTGCAAATACATTTCCATTTGAAACAAATTAAAAAGCATGTAGATGTTAAAACATAATGACAGCTTAGAATTCAAGTGACTTGTGCAACATTATTTTGTGCTTTCCACTTCTCCATTCCCTCCTACTGCAATTAAAATTCATCATGCCCTACTACATGTACAATAGCAATGCATCAAGTTCAGTCCAGTAGAGGTTTTCAACCTTCAGACTCGGCTTTATACTACATGAGATCCTTGCACAATCAAAAAAAAAAAAAAAAAAAAAAAGAAAAAAAAGTGCATCTTTTTTCCTCATCTTTCTCTTACGCTGGATGATGTGAAGCTCTGATTAGTTGATACAGGAATGCAACCTTGAGGTACGATTGCAGCCTCGGAATGATTCTTAAATGTAAAAAGAAACTTTTGGAGCACTCACGCCCATTCTGGATTTTAAAAAAGACACCACTGTCATGGTGCTACAGGAGCCACGGTACAGTACATCATGGCACACACCCATAACATAACCAGGGACGTGAGAGACAATTCCTATTTACAAAAAACTTGATGTCACTTCCAGAAAAATATGACAGAAAAAAAAAAGGAAAGTATAATTTCCTGAATGTCCTGAATTTTTAGAAGATTCCTTTTACTTTCTCTTCAGCAACAGAGTGGTCCTCCACAACTGTATTTTTCCCTGACCTTTTTAGTATGGACCATAAGCGACACCAGCAGGAATTGGGAATCATATGGCAAACTGCTTCCTTCGAGAGGATGCTCACCCACGCCCCTTTACTCACAAGCCAGCTTGCTGTCAAAACTGGAAAGGGCAATGGAAAAGGCTTGTAGTGCACACATTGGGTAGTTGTAGTCCATGGTGAACACATCCTCAGCCACGCGGCCAAACTGCATCACAATGTAGTCAGCTGCCAGAAAGGTCAGGAAAGGCAAAAAGCATTACTGTTGTTTGCAGCGCTCACTAAAAAATAATAATAAACCCTGTCCCCTGTCCCAGAGCAACGAAATACCACCCAAACATGCTCACTCATCAAACTTCATAGCACTTATTCATGCAAGTGGGTGTGCTGATAGCAGGGCGAGAAGCAAGGACAGCTTGAGTGATAAAGGGTTGCAAGACTTGCTAGTGTCAAAAAAAGTGACGCATATAAAAAGTGCTTTTTTCAAGAACAGGGAGACGACGGCTTCTGTACAGACTGTTGAAGCCTCTTACACAGATCTCAATTAAACCTGCTCAGGTGACAACTGTAAGGACAGAATCCCTCCCAGACTGTGCATGCAGTGCTGTTCCTACACCTTACAGGCAGAGAGCTCTACTTACGATCATTATCATGGATAATCTGGAAGTTCTTCACCGAGGCCTGGGTGACTCGACCATGGAAATTCAGAACATAGGACTGGGTATCATCATTCCAGACTGGGGTTTTGTTGTGCAGCTCAATGACACTTTCCGTATTTTTGTTCTGCCACCTTGCAAGAAGTGTCTCATGTTCCTGCACACACCACAGATACACTCTTCAGTTTAACATGCTCACATGATAAAAAACACATTAACAGGGAAGAAAAAATTAATCAATCCTGGCCCAAAGACTAAATTCTCAACCCTCAAAACTTCAATAAATGAAACTGAGAACTGTGAGGATCTAAATGCAAATGTACATTTGAGTCCTTTCCGAAGTTTGATAAATGTTAGTTGTACCTTTTGTAATCAAAATACTTTATTTGTAGAGCTTTTGTGAATCACGTAAGTAGTCACATATCCCGTTGTTCTGCAATTGCTTGAATACCATTTTATTAACTTCTAGGCCTTCAGAAATGCAAATAAAAAACCCCAACTCCACCTGAAAAAGAATTCTAGTAATTCTTAGCGATGGCTGCTGGTAAGACTTACATTTCGTGGTCTGATGGAAACTCTTTCATGATCCATATTCATTCCTGGTATGATCACGCTCATTTTACGAGGTCCTTTAAACCCCAGGACATTTGTTTCCTAAAAATGTTTAGAAAAGATTTCATCATGTTTTTATTTTAAAGTTAATTTTTTCAGCAGAGAGGCAATGTGGCAGCCCAGGGAACTTATTTGTTAGTCAACTCAAAAAACATCTTGCAACTCCCACCTTCACTGGCACTGCCAAACATTCTAGCTTTGTCTTAGAAGCTCCGACAACAGGAAAAATGGAAAAAGAGAGGTTTCCAAAAACACTCCTAACACTGGCTGCCAGGAACCTTAATATAATTTTTTTTTAACTCCCTTTGTTAAGAAAGGATATGAATTAATCAGATTGCTTGGCTACTGCTAGATCCCAAAATAAAGTAGTTGCAATTTAAAAATCACAAAATGTAGACACACAGTTTGATGTGAGACAAAATTAAATATATGGGATCAGTTCCACTTATTCCAGAGCCAGCACAAAAGCAAACAAAATGCTAGTCAGAACATCTGATAGCAGTGCTGTGGTTTTCAAAATTTGCTTAGAAATGACCACGGTAAAAAAACCAAACACATTAGCATAATGGCAAATTTTCTAGCTATGACGACAGGGAAAGTAAAGAAACCACATGGACATCAAAAATAAACCCATGGAAAATACAAATTCTTCCATCAAAAGTGATCTGATGCTTTCCTGACCAGCTTTTCACAAGAGAACCAGAAAAGGTAAAGAGCAATATTTTCCAGTAAAACCCAGTTTTAGCATTAACCCAGTGAATGAAACAGTGACACCTTGAAGTCCATCTCCTCATGTTTTGTGATAGGATTTTTCAGTCACATGTATTTTTTTCCCCATCTGCCAAACTGAAATGAAGGGCTTTGGAGATGCACTAAGGAATCTCAGGAAGAACATCCTCATTGTTCCCAACAACATACCACAGGATGCCAAGAACCAGACACCCCTAGGCTCCAGCTGGTGTGGCTTTACCACTGGGACATTTAAAAGTGATTAATTCAGCTGTCTCTGCTTTTATATTTTTAATTAAAATGTCCTGATTTCATGGAACACTAAACTTATTAAAACACTTCTACTTTTGCAAGCAAAAATCCATGTAGCTCAACCCACTGGAAACATCTGAAAATACCCACCTAAAATACCCACAGCTTTGACATCACCACACCTTTGAAATAACTTTGCCTGTTCCGGCAAATCATCTGGAGATTTTCCACAACTCATTTAAGATTTGCATGCATGCAAGAGACATTCTTTTGGATGATTTTACTGCATGCTCCTGAAACAATCCAGGCATATTCATATATCTTCCAAACTCTGCACATTAATGGGAAGATTCTGCCTTTTTTCTGAATCACGTCCCCTCCTTTGGCAGAGTAAAACATGTTATCAGTTCAGTTGGTTCTGCATCATGGCAAGATGAAAACTGATATGACTGCCAGCAGATTTTATAAGTAGGAGAGACTCAGCTCAGCAGAGGACAAGTTCTAAGAAAAGATTCATGCTTATGCTTATTTTCCACTAAGTACTGACAATTTTGGGCTTCTCTGCTATGCCTTACAATTTTTTTTTTCCTTGAGCTGCAGTTATGCTGTACATAATTAATTTAGATGCTGACTGGTTGAAGACATTGTTGAAGGTAAAATTAAATAATAGTGCTGAATCACTTCCCCCCCAACAAGCAGAGGATAAAAACAGCACTATATTCTTTGGGTTTACTGAGAAACACTGAAATTGGTACCTCTGGCATATGATAAGAGAATGGTTACTAGTTGCAATTACCGCAGTCACCAATTATCACACGCTGGGCTGGCAAATGCTACCCTTTTGCTAAACTCACAGTACCAAACTGACATTATATAAACATGGAATATGTGAGGAGAATGATTAAAATTACCTCACCTCCTGCCTCACTCCCTGCTTCTCTTTTATTTCCCTCCTCCATTCTTTTGTGTGTGGAAATTTAAGACTACAAAGGGTATTATTAGGGGAACATAAACCAAATTCTTATTTCACACCATTTTAATGCCACTGACAGTCTTGGTTTACAGAGGAACACAAATGTTGCTCACTAGCAGAGTACTTACTGACACCAATGATTTTTATCAGCTCAGGACTTAGCCCAGGATTGCTGCACTCTCTGCCTTAGCCCATCCAGTCAGCCTTACAATAAACTGGGCTGCAAGAGCTTCTCCCCAGGGCTGCCTTTAGAATATTTCATACTTTCAAATAATTATGTAAGCACGTTGCTTTAGTGGCAATAGCTGCCATGATAAAAGCAGCAAGGTGAATATCTCAGCAGCTCCCAGGAGATTCACGATTTTATTACCCCCATTTTCTTGCAGCCACTTCCCTTCCTCGGCTTGTTTCATACAGCTGTGCCTTGTCCTTAAAATTTTCTGTAGAAGTTACTATTCCAAGGAAGGCCCAGCTCACAGAACTCACAACACTGGAGGAGCACAATGCAAGTGATTGAAGCTTGAGTAGGAACACAGAGTCTTGCTACTGTACTGAAACCTGAGCCACACCTCAGGGTATACAAATGTGAATGTTGTGGAATGTGACACAAACTGAACTGTGAGATACTATGGAATCCAGAACAGAAAATCCTGCTGCCAGTGGCACAGTTGCTGCTCATTGCTCCTGGATAAATTTTGCCAACAATTCTGCAATCAGCCATTAGGTGCTGCTGCAGGTTTATTAATATGCTGGCCGCCAACACAGGGGGAGTAAAAGTCAACAGCACCTGAGGAAACTCTGACCTTGCCTAGCTTTGTTCCTGTTGCTTGAAACACATCTTAAGGTGAGCTCCACAAAGAGAGCCCTTACCACATTTATCCCACAGTCAGCCACGGATGCATCACCACTTTTGCCTATATAAATTACACCTGCTGAGATGATTAAGCAGGTCATGCTCAGTAAGTTGGGTACAGCTTGATCTCCACATGGGTACTTTGCTTAGATGAGCTGAGGGACAGGGAGAGGTACTTTCAAGGTAGTGTTTTTATAACTTTTGCTGCAGGGGAAATCTCAGGGCAGAAATTAAAATACTGCCTTAAGACAAGGGTGTTTTGGCTCTGTTCTTCCTGGCACTCTCTGCTCTGGTTTTGCTGCAGCCAGGAACAATAATCTCACTTCAGCAAACCTGGCTAGTTTGAAATGAAATACAATTCCAATTTCCTTTTGTCCTCTGGCCACAGCACACCTGCAAGCCTGCTGCCTTACTCCATTAGTACCAAAATATCAATGGAAAACGTAATTTTCTTATACAAATGTACCAGTTTCAAACTGCTGATTACAGACAAATAAAAGCAGTTTATCTCAGCCCCAGTCTCCAATCAGTGGCTATGGTTTGGTTTTCCAATACTCATACTTCTAATTACCTCTGCTGACCACAACAGCTTTTTATTTGGTATTGTTCACCATTCAAGTATCGTTTGTTGTTGACTTAAGCAATGTCTACATTTCTCAATATATAACTTTTTTTTTTTCATTTGCTTTGGTTTTCTTTTTGCACTTCCAGTTTGCACCAGATTAGTAGCCTGGCTCCAGGGAATACCATCCTATATAAACCATAAAAATTCCTTTATTAAACATGTATGTTCTGCTGGGCTTGTACTGAGACTTCAGTTAAAGTAACCTCAAATGCTGGAGTCTTGTTTTAAATCCTGCAAGCTGAGTTTTTGGAATTTCTAAGAACTTTAAATCCAGTAGGAAGGGAGGAATATGTATCTGCTCATCTGCCACATTAAAACTGTATCCTAAGCAGCAGGAAGAGAATGTGCTGGCAGCTAATACTGCCCTCCTTCAGAACTCCCAGCACTTTGCACGGAAGAGATGGTTCTCAGCTTCCTTGCTCATGGAAATCTTCCAGATGCATTGCTTTCCACAGCCCAAAGTTCACCCTTCTGGGAACACATTCTGTGCATACATTGGGTATGTGGTGGACCTCAGCCTTACAGATTTCCAGGCATCCTTGATTAGATCTGGGCAGGAATTCTTCAGAAAAGTCATTCTTGGATATTTTTATTGAAGCTGTTGATTTGTGAAACCAGAAGACTTTCTGTAGCAGTGTACATACCAGTTTTCACTGGAAGGGTTTTTCCTGGGCCCAAATATTTCTGGACAGAAAGAACACTCTTACCAAAAAGGTTATTCATCCAGCAATCATGAAACAACAGCAACTGTGCTTCAAGTCTTGATTGCCTGTACTGCTCCTGACAAATGCTACTTACTCTCCTGTAAGAGCCTGATTTCTCTTATTCAATCAAATTTTGGATTTTACTTGGGTTTCTCCCCTGGTAAAAAGGAGTTTTAGAGGTTTTTATCCCAATCTCAGCTGCTGCAGACCTAGCTGTCAGCTACCAATGGTTTGGATCAGAGAGGCCTCCTCCAAAACACCACAGCAAACAATCATACTTTAGAGCAGTAATGCCATGTGCACAGCTCTTTCCAGTTCAGGAGGTTCCCTCAGGTGGTGCCTGCAGGCTGTGATCCTACCCTTTCCAGAGGGTTATGTAAGAACTTCAACACCTCCTTCTCACCAAAGGTGAGAACTGGGCAACCCTATACAGTGCACAAGGCTTTTCACCTCTACTTTGCACTGAGCCTGCCGGTTTCTCTGGTGGAGATCAGCTGCCTGGTTACATCAAAGTCTGAATGCTGATTTACATAATCATAAGTGAGAAGGAAATTCAGTGTGCTGCTTCAGAAAGTGAGCTGCCCTTCCTGCACGCTGTGCCTGTGAGCAGTACTTACATAACAAATAGCAGCTAGCTCCTGACGCAGGGTACTCGCCTCCAGGCTGGATGTTGTTTTCATTGGATTTACTCCATTGTCATAAACTGTAAACTTAGTTCCCATAAGATTTGATCTACCAAGAAAAAAATGGAAAATCCAATCACCATTTGTCAGCAATGCTGCCTGAGACATCTATCCTTTACTGCACTGTGGCCCCAGAGGAAAGGCAAATACTGAGTATGGAGAGTTGTTATTTCTAATCCCAACTACATGGCAATTCCTGGATTAAAGGGCAAAATGACAAAAATGTAAAAGGTACAGTACCGAAGTGTATACTAAAGGTCCCTTATCATCATGCTGGAGATTTCTGATAACATCTTGCAAACCAGGAAATACAAGAAAACTATAAGGAAACACTTGGGTGGGGTTATTTTGTGTGTCTGCTTAGTTTTTAAAATATACTTACTCACTACAAAACCATCTGCTTTCTTACCTGACTACTAAACTCTGTTAGAATATAGGGAGTGACTTTTATAAAGCCATTAGTGAGATCAAATCTTTCCTATTGCAATGGAAAGGAGTGCAAAATACAGCGCAGGCACAGATGATCTGAACATACACCCAGAGGTTCCACGGTGGGATCAACAGCAGACTGGCTGTACAGCGTGGGGACAGACAGAAAAGGAACACGTGGTTCTGAAATAATTCCACTACCTGTAAATAACTAATTTGGATCTTGAGGAACAGGCAAAGCCAAAGGGATTTTCAGACTGTGAAACAGTGCATTCCAAAGTATTTATATCAATGAAGGCTAGACACAATGTACTCATGCACTTCTGAGAATCCCATTAAGATAAGTTGTGCCGGTACACCCTTGAGAATTTGGCCTTTGAGCACTTAAGAGCTTTAGTTCTGATGACTTTTAATAAAATGTGATCCTGTAAGTACTTGAGACATTTTTGAAAACATGCCTTGGATACTGGTTCCTCTAACTAAGAAGACACCGTGGATTACAGGCTTCTTAATATCAAATAAACTTTACATTATATAAAGAAAATTCTTAAACTTATCACTGTTTACCTCAGTTTTCCAATAAAACTCTCTCCACCCCGAGACAGGTCAGTTGGGTCTATAGAGATGAGGTAATTAGAGGTTTTACTCTTCTTTCGTTTCCTTCCAGCCAACAGAAACACCTAAGCAATGAAAAAAAACATATTCTAGAATGCTAAAGGGTTTAGCACACACCACTTCCTGCTTTGATATAAGGAAATCATAGCAATTTTTCTGTCTTCAAGCATCACTAGCAAAGTAGCAGAAGATCTCCTGGGATTTAGCAAAACCAGGGGAAAAAAACCCTCTGGTATAGGAAAATGACTTCTCAACCTCTCATTCCATTAGTTATGGTTTAAATAATTAAATCAGATCTATGTTATTAAATGTTTCATTCTAACTTGCTCTGGCTCTTCCAGCTGAATGCTGTAGATGCTCTTCCAGCTGTAGATGCTTTTCAGGTCACAGAATGCAGAGAGCCCCAACTGCTGGCAGTACATAAAGGTGCCATGCTTGGATTATTTAAAGCCAAAGATTAGACATATGAAGAAAAGCAGTGGATGAAAGGGATACTTCTCCTTGGCTTTGGGAAGACTGTAGGGTAGATCTAGCGAAAGCAAAAATGTATCCAAAATAGAAGACTACATTTTCTTTGTAAGACTCCTTCAGACTTTTAAATTTTTATTTATTTATTTTTTTTTAATATTCAGATGCAACTGGTATGGCATTCAAGTTATGTTATGACCTTTTTACCATGCTCCCTTTCCAAGTGGAGGTAATAAGTAGGGTACATCCCTCGGTCCATTCCCTTCTTGTCTCTTGTGATCCTGCACTTGACGGTGACCCCCTGTGGGGCAGGTCTGACAGCAAACTCCTCCAGGTCATCCACATCTATGAGAGGCTCATTTGTGGAAGGACTGGGGGCTGAGGCCGCTTCCTAAAACAATAAGCAGAATTCAGAGGTTTTTAATTTCCATCTACAAGGTTATAAGCACAAAGGAACGGCATTTGATAGAAGTTGCACTCCAGAGAAATCAAACCAAGGGCTATATTGTCTTGCTGGTGCTCTGTGTACAGACCCACCTGGTGGAGCAGAACAGGGTGGCTGCACAGACAGAGTGCTGTACAGGGCTTACAGAGCAAACCCTGGCTCACACCTTCCCATCTCACCACATACCTTCTGTCAGAAAGGCTGTGCTCAAGGACAGGGGTGGCCTTTGATGGAAGGAAGGAATGGGATAGGGAGCAAGACTTTAAGCTCCAGAGAGATCTAACAAAGATGAGAAGTCAGGGCAGTATATTAAAGAACAGGTCACCATCAGCTAGTTTAGCAAGATTTTGTGATTTAGAATATTTGAACCAGACAAAGTCTTATTTTATGTTCAGATTGTAGCAGAGAACAGGGTGGGAAAATGCCCAGAAAAAGTCAATGGAAACAAAAGATCCTTCTGAGCACCTGCAAGAGGTAGGAAGGTAAATATTTACTGTTTCCCTTCCTCTTCATTCAAGTTCAGACAATATTTGCCATTCTTTTCTCCAAGTCGTTATTTTCATTGCTTGCTCTTGCGAAGCCTGAGAGGTATCACAGTAAATCACCTTGGAGAGACTCTAGTGCATAACAAACACAGAACAAGAAAGCCAGGCCTGTCCTGAGTGCACCCTGGAATCACACAGTTCATGGCAGTTTGCACACCCCTTCTTCACCACTCTCCCCTTACCTTATTGGATTTCTTGCTCGTTGCAGAACCAGGCCGGGTGTTACTGTTTAACTGTGAAGAACTGGAGCTGTCTTCATCCTCCTCATCTTCTTCCTCATCAAAATTCATGCTACTTGAAATGCCTGAGGAGAAAACAGCACACTTATATGAAATAGTGATAGATTAAAGCTGCCTATACTTGCTGTAAAACATCACTTATCAGACTGCTGCACCCTGAGGCTCACAGGTGAGTGAGGGGGTGTGTGAGAGTGGCTCATTGTGTGAGGCACAGCATGAACACGTGGGTCAGACAGCAGCTCTCCTGAGAAGCCTAAATATTCAGGTAAAAGAGACAGGAAACATCATGGTTTCCATTCCACAGAGAGGATCAAGTCACCCAGTGATACAGGAGCAAATATCTGGTTAAGAACTGAATTCAGATAATCTTCATCCTATCAAGTACTTCAAACACAACACAAAATCATAAAGCTGAAATTGGAGCTGAGAGGACAACCTAGCACAGCCACTTAGAAACCCTCACAATTAAAAGATAAGCTCTTTTACAGCATACTTTTAGCTGTGTGATCTGCTGAAGAGTACATCTTAGACTGAGAAGAAACATTCACATCAAGGAAATGTTCTCCTGCATCTCATTTCATGTAAAGAATAGTATCAGCCCAGGCCAAGGGAAGTACCTTACAGCACTTGAAAATCTGACTTTACAGGAATTCAAAACCTCAGACATTTCAAAGGGAAGCACAACTTTGAACATCAAATAGGTCTTTGCAGCAAAAAACATCAATGGTGGGACATTTGCCAGGCCTAGTTTTTCAAAGAGTATCATGCAGATGAAGCCACTCCATATCCAAGTTCAAGCTCTCTAGGTTCCACATATTACAGGCTATATTCTATCCTTTAAAAAAAACCAAGAAAACATCACTTGGTCCAGAACTCCTGTTATGGGTAAGTCCAGTGTAGAATGATAAATGAAATGCAGATTTCCACAGCCAAGCAGCATGGACATAATTAACTTTTTCCTTCTGTACTCACCAGGAACGTGATCCAGGGCGACAAGACTGGATTGGGAGGTGGAAGAGGACCAGGATGTATTTGCATGGGGATCTGAGAAAGGAAAAAATCCAAGGGTTTGATTCTGCAAACCCTTCATTGAGTGAACAAGTGTAACCTGGCAAGAGGACTCCACACAGGGCTAAAGGATTCTGGGACAGGGCCACAATGCTGCTACTTGGATTCACAGTTTCTGCACTGCACCATCAAATTCACCTTCTACCTGCTTATACCTGCTGTGAACTTCACTTTCAGTACCTTGAATAAAGTGAAAAAGCCCTGGATCACAGAGCTGAAGCTTCAGCAAACCCCATTCACACTGAGCAGTTGTGCCACCAACGCTTCTGTGCGTGATGTGCCATCATGGTGGGGTTTGGGCCTACTTTGGAATTCTAACAAAATAAAAACCCACAAACCTGATTAACATAAGTGATACACATAGATTCTACACAATATTGAGTCAATAACATTGAAAGAAGTATTCAGATTCATATTCAAATTCTACTTCAGTCCCTGTGCCTACTGCGTCCTCATCATCAAAAGATTAAATCAGGCTCTCTAAACTGCTTTTGTGGGAGCTCCAGGGATATGCATAAAGATTTTATTGTAGTTTAGTCTTCTGGAATATGAACTTGGTCTGTAACAAGCAGACAAAACCAAACTGATCTACAGAAATATAAACAGAAGATATAGATTCAGTAATGGTTTTCTTCAGTTCAAATTTTGGAACAGATGAAGAAAAAGACAGCAAAAAAGGCATTAAAATGCTTTTTGTTTATATTGCTGCTTCCAGTAACTTCAGTGCATATCCCTTTAGAATATCCAGAAGCACACTAGATAGTGAAACACCGCCAGAGCAGTAAGAGTGAGGGTATAAAAGTGAACCAGGAGCATAAGCAATGCTTGCATTGCATTCAGCTGCCCTGTGAAAGCTCTCATTATCCACTTCTTCAGCTCCCCCAGTGCTGACATACATCACAGAGCACAACAGCAAAACCTTTCAACAGGACCTGGTTATGCAAGGGAGGCCTGAGTTCACAGGTCAACAGATATTTTCAAAGCCTGTAGAATTCATTCCTTATTAATCACACACTCATTAATCACAAGCATTATTTCTCAATAAGGAAAATCATGTTCTAAGCTCTATGCATGGGTAATGGACACAGTCCATCTCCTCAGCTGGCAGCTGCACAATAAAGCCATAATTCATATCCACAGACAGAACTGTTTTATTTCCACACCTGTGCTCACTATTTCACCACCAATCAATACTTTAGTGGTGAAAATTCTGTCCCAGCCTTAGAAACATCTGCGGTCATAACCTGCAGGGAAAAATGCTTCAGGGAGCTCCTGTTTTGGAATCCAGAAATGAAATTGATCCCTTCCCTAAGTCTCAAAACTTCAGGTGGCAAAGAAGAACTAAGACCCAATTGCTCATTCCATGCCCTTTACAGAGACATATTGGCAACTGATAAGAGTGAGGATTACATGTTAGTTATTCAGTGTTAAAACTTATGGAAGTCTGACTCTGTCCTAGTGACTCATTTGCCAGGGAGGAACTCTACAGATTAACACTTTGGAAATTAAAAGGATGAATATTTCCTACAGGAGGAAAATTATTCTAGGATGGCAATTTCCAACAGATGGAGAAATCAAATAAAACATTTGGCATTTTCTTGCAAGTGGCATATTCCTTTCACACTCGGTAGCCTATAACCTCTTGTCTTGTTACACAGCTTGACTCATTGGGGAAGGAGAGACACGTGCTGAGAGAAGTTTCTCTCCACCAGGTTAGGCCAAAGAGCAGAACAGGCATGAATTAGAGCTGTGCAAATCCAATGGGATTCAGCTTTTGCCATGAGACCAGTTAGCATTTCATAGAATCACAGAACAAGCTGAGTTGGAAGAGAACCTTTAGGATCACGGAGTCCAGCTCCTGGCCCTGCACAGGACACCCCAAGAGTCACACCATGTGTCCCAGAGAACTGTCCAAATGCTTCTGGAACTCTGTTGGGCTTGGTGCTGTGACCACTGCCCTGAGCAGTCTGTTCCAGTGCCCAACCACCCTCTGGGTGGAGAACCTTTTCCTATTATCGAACCCAAACCTCCTCTGACACAACTTCAGGCCATTCCCTCGGGTCCTGTCACTGTCACTACAGAGAAGATATCAGTGTCTGCCCCTCCTCTTCCCCTCATGAGGATGTTGAAGACCACAATGAGGTCTCCCCTCAGTGTCCTTTTCTCCAGGCTGAACAGACCACATGCCCTCAGCAACTCCTCATACAGCTTCTCCTCCAGACATTCACCATCCTTGTGGCCTCCTTTGGACACTCTCTAACAGTTTAATGTCTTTTCTATATTGTGGCACCCAAAACTGCACACGCTATTCAAGGTGAGGCTACTCCAGTGCAGGACAATCCCCTCCCTTGCCCAGCTGGCCATGCTGTGCCTGATGTCCCCAGGACAGGGTTGTCCCTCCTGGATGCCAGGGCACTGCTGGCTCCCGTTCAACTTGTCATGGACAAGGGCCCCCAGGTCCCTTTCTGCAGTGCCTTATCTTTGTGCACTTCTCCTTCTGCTCCTATTCCATGCAAGAGAAGCCCTGATAGGAGAAAGCAACTCTAAACACCTTTCAGGTGACATGCCAGTAAGGACATGCCACAAAGCAGTAAAATGGCAGTGGGAATCCACATGGAGAGCTTTATCTCTGTAAAAAGTATCACATTAATGCTGGGATACTCAAAAACATCCTCTCTTGGTATCAAGCAGCAAACCATACACATACAGTAAAAACAATTTACAGAGATGATGCTGGCATTATTTTAATACCTGTCCTTGTGTCTCACCCAGCATAGCTCTGTTGTTAATAAAAACAAATAAAGCTCAGTATTCCCATTTAAATAAAAATGTCCCCCTCATCTCAACTTGAAACACACTAGTGGTTCACTCTTAGCAGTGTCTGTTCGGAGCAGGAATATACTCAGACCTGGTAAGAAAGGTCATATCATATATTTGACAATATACAGAAGCTATTCAAATAAAAAAAAATTCCACTCTCTGCTTCTATTAAAAATTAAACACAAATTTGGGGAGAATAAAAATATATGATAACCTGGCAAAAAACTAACAAACCCAGAAGTGTCCCCCAGTGTAAAAACCTGAGTGCTGTGACCTAATTTGCAAAGTCTGTGGGTACTTTTTAAGTCAATCAGCTTTACTTGAGTAGTGTGTTGGATGATTAAATATTCTGAGCCATGGTCTAAGGCAACACAATCACCACACAGATCAGAACTTGTTAGTCATGCCCAACACCCCTGCAACTGAAATGCCCAGGAAATAGCACACTTGGAGAAAATCTGCCGATTTCAGTTGGAGCTGCTCACATCTGCAGGGTAACGTCCCAGAAAAAATGAATCTCAGTGAGAACTGCTCTGCAGACAAGAGGCAGCATTTAGGTATGAATAGTCCATTCTACACGAGTCAAGTTTGCACTTACATTTTGCTCTTTATACACAAAGAGTTTATTCTTAAAGCATCAGAGCACTCTTGGCCTGAGCCATCTTTGCTTCAAAAGCTGTACACTGAAGAAGAACAATTCCAAAGCAAATGTCTTCAGAAAACGCTTTGTGAGGGTTTGGGGATTTTTATTTTTTCCTTCCTACAGTTTGTGTCTAAGGGGAGATAACAGTGCAGGAAGGAAGAGGCAGATGCATGAATGTGTACATACACAATCTATCTCCCAAAGCATGCACGCCTCTGTAAAAAGAAAAATAAATTCCAGAACATTTGAGAATTCTGTGTGGGAAATGCTGCAGAATGCGGTGCGCTTTTCACCTCTGCAATCTTAAACAGACACTACGAAAACATGAACAATGTGTAACTGACCCCACCACTAAAATTAATATTCTAGTTTGAATGTTGCTATTTCGTGCTGGTTTTTAACCATCAAGTAAGTTATTTCCAGAGTTGTACATTATGAAAATGTGAACAGATGGATGTGAAAATTGGCATCTGCCTGGTACCTTAAAAATGGCACTGCACTGCAGATGGGGAAGTCATGTCCCTGAGAACCTGCAGAGCTCTTGTTCCTTGAGGCAAGAGAGAACTTCATTGTTTTATATTATTTTAGGTATTTTGGATTTTTTTATGAAACAGAATAGAGCCTAACAGGTTCTGAGGAGAACACACCCAGAACTAACAAACTGTGTTTAGACTAGGGCTGACAGTGAGAATAGGAAATTGAGTCAATGTCCATCATGCAAGCAGTGAGAACATGAAGGAAGCTTTATTACTTACCTTTCTTCTGCATTGCTGTTCTAAGATCTTGCTTGCTTTGCTGTTGTTGGCCAGTAGCCACTTTCTCGCCATCATCTTCATCATGGCTAGACTGTCCAACAGTGAGAATCTGCACTTGACTTCCTATCTTCTGAACATCATCTTGAAAAGCAGCTGGGCCATCAATTCCTGTGAGACAGCAAAAGCCTTAGTTGTCTTTGTGTCAAGAAGTTACTGAAAAGAGAATTGCTCAGTCACAAAACCAGCAGCTTTTCTAGGAGTCACAGATTGCCTGTTCACATTCAATAATATTTCTATATTTAAACAATACTAAGCTAGCCTCCAAGGCAAACATTTTACTCCCCACATACTGCACTGGCAAATCTCCAGGAGAGGATCAGGATTTCAGTAGTGCCCTCCTCACCCCAAAGCACACCTACCCTATGCACCAGAAAGACTGAAAAGCAAGCAGACAAGAAACACATTGACAAAGAAAACAGATAAAATTTTAATGAGGGCACACAAGTGATCCAGAAATAGATGAACCTGAGTCCCAGGTTATGCCATATCCCCATATAAATACCACTGCTATCATTAAATACTTTAAAGTTTCAAAAACTTGGAAAATTCACAAGTAGATCTGCCAGTGTGTCCAACAGAGGGACAGCATATTAACAAGACTAAATACACCTTCTGAGTTAGCAAAATTTCCATACAGTTAATGCATCAGAGCAAAACTGTAAGGAAGATATTACATATTCCCTGGAACATCTATCCTCTTGAGATGCTTAAATCCCAAACCTGCTGTGAGCAGTGATGAGAGACTAGAGAGTGCCCAGAGGCACCTCCCAGCCTCAGCCATGCTGTGATCCTGTGGCTCCTTTCTGACCACAGCCAGAAAGACACTATTTACCTCCTTATGGCTGTAAATCACCTCCAAAGAGAGAAAAGGAAAATAAGGGGTGGGGGTGTTCTTACCACAAGCCAACTTAATTTTCTTTCTTCAGGACAGCGAGGTAAAACATCAGACTGCAAATGTACTTCAGCTCTTAGTGAAGACACAGAGCTGGAATATGTTACTAAATCAGCTATATAAAAATGCACTTCTGTATCTATAAAAATGGTGATATTTTCATGTATAGATATAATAAATACCATGAGCTGTACGCTGCTGCTGTTGTGAAATTTTTTGTTAATAAGCAAGCAGCATTGTGGAGAGTTAGCAAGCACTATAGAAAGCTAATTCAGTAAAGGAATATGGTGCTTCTCACACCAAACAGAGCTGAATAAACCCTGAGAGAAGAAGCTGCAGGGATTGGGATTTTTTTTTTTTTTTTTTGGATTGTGATCTGTAGCAGAAGTCTCCAAGAATACCATTTCATCCTGCTTTGCCAGCAGCTGACAACTTGCATTAAAAGACAGCTGGATTATACATTTAGCATGCTTAACTGTACCTTGCAATATCTGCTGTCACTGCCACTGCAATACGAAGCATAAGTGGAAAAAAAGAGTGGTTCATATCCCCAGGAACAGCACTGGCTGTGCAACCACCCAACGAGATGCAGTCTGACACTGCAGAGGTGTTAAACCCACAGAGTTCAAGACCACAAGGAGTTATTGCTTCATCTGCATTACACAGACCTTGGCAATTTCTGCACCAAGTCTGCAAATTGTGATTTATTTGCAGCAAAGCTAATAACAACAACGACTAACAGCACATAAATAATCTGTCCATCCAACCTTGAAGGACTATGGAAGTCCATGGAAATGTCCACGGAAATGTCTCTGTGACCTTGCTAGGATGACAATTTCAGAAGTAGTTCTGCATGCTACAGAATGAATAGTATCATCTTTTGTGCTGCAGGTATAGCATGGCAGTGAAGAGAACTGTATTTTTCTTAACATTTATCCTAGGAGAAGCACCACTGCAAAGGTGCTCTAGAACAGATAAGTAGCTGCTCAGATTCTCTGTGGTATTTTTAACAGCTTTACAATATTAACCATTATCATTAAAGTCGCTGCCTAAAGATAGGTTGTTACCTTAATACTCTGAATTTTAAAAGTGTTAAGCATCCATGAGTTTACAAGGTGCCTCATGCATCCTAGCCCCTTATTAAGCATTGGATGATACAAACCTAATTTTGAGAATTCCTTTGAGAAGGAACAAAACACCTTAATTATTCCTCTTCAAAGCAGACATTGATCTGCAGTAAATGAAATGCCTTCAACAGCACTGGAGATTGCACTGAGGCTGCTTTTTTCCAGTGCCTGCAGAACATCTGCACTCACATCCCATGCTGTCAGGAACATTGTGTATTATTAGGAGTCAGGACAAAGGCTACACTGGCAGGTCACAGTTTTAGAGAAGAAAAATCAATTTCAGTGTTCTGAAGAGTGCATCACTGGTAGAGTGTGTTATTAAGCATTAGGAATGGTTCCACTGGTGAGCACATTTAAGGGAATGAAATATGTAGCAAGACAGGATTTAAAAAAAGAGGAAAAGAAAAAACCTCTGCTGCATTAGAACACTGTAGGTGGCAAATGCAGCATTAGCTACTTAATACTTGTGTGTGTGCATAATCTTTGTAGCTACACATGCGTGTGTAAAATGGGATTAAGTGCAGGAATACATACACATTTTTCTATATCACGAAGTATAAGTGCATCTTTGTAAACCATAGTTCAAAAGGCAGCTTTGCCACCACCTACCAAATGTCTGAAAACACCTGAGAACACTTCCAAGCTTGTGTAACCATGATATTCAAGGTGGATCTCTCCCCCTCTTTGCATCACTGACTCCTTTTTATCAACTGCCTAGAAGATTGGTTGTCTTTGTAATAAAACAAACCACTCATCTATCGTTTCTGTGCTTAAGGACATAGCCAAAAGAGGCAAAGAAGCTGAGTGGGTTGTGCCAAAAAAGTTTTTATTGCTCTGGTCAGCATTTTTTACAATGCTTCCCAAAAATCAGGTAGGGAGAAAGTCTGACAGACACAGCCTTCAATACCTGCTAAAAAGTAAGGGAAATTTTTGAGAGGCAAATGTGAAGGAGGGCAGAAAGGAAAGAAGATTGGAGCTACCCTCAGAATACCAGACCCTTCAGAAAAAGCCTTTTGGCACACTTTGGCATGATCATGTCTCAAATGAAAACCAGAGGTACCAGAAATGAAAACAAAACAATACTGGAGAAAAAAGAAAAGCATCAATAAATAAGTGTTGCATTTATAGCCTACAAACTACTATTCATCAATGCCTGTATTCTCTTAGATGTAAATCTCCTAGATAATATTTATAAATAGGCAGCTCCAATCTGTTAAAAGCTGGTAATTTAAACTACTGAATGGCAAATAAGATTACGTATCAGGAAAGGAACATAGCATAGAAACACAAGTAATTCTGTCCCTGCTTTACAAGTGCAGAGCTGCAGGACAGGGAAGTTCTTGTTTTCATTTCATAGAGCATTTAAAGCACAAGTTTGATGTATGAAGCTTGCCACACTGCTCACAGATTAAGAATATGACTAAACCCTTTGGAGATCAGACCTGGAGAGTTGACCAAGGCCAGGCAGGAGGCCTCTGGAAGAGAATGTGCATTTCTTGAGCTCAGTTACTGACAATGGAGTCCTATCCATGTGGATAACACCCAAGGCTCTGGGTGCAAATGCTATTCAAGACCTCTGCAGAGCAGCTCTCCCTCCAACTGAGGGATGGCAGCACAACCCTTTAAAGAGTGACCTGTTCTGATGTTAAGGACAGGGAATCCCAGGGAGATGTGACACCAGAACAAATAGTTTCCATCCTTTAGAGAACTTGGCTAACCCTGCTGTCAATATTTTCTAAGCCATTTCCCATTATATTCCTGCCCTCACAGGGGCTGTCCATCCGCTGATAGGGGTTCAAGCAACTGAAAAATCACAAAGGGATTTGTTTAGAGGGAAAGGGAGCAAATAGAAATATTTGTTTTAAAGGATGTCTAGACATGATTTAGTCCAAACCTCCACTGGACTATTGCTAGCACCAGATCAGGACAATAAAAGCAAGTACTTGAGCACAAAGTTTTATGTCCACTTTGATGAAATCTAAAACAGTAAACAGGAACTGTACATTCATAAATCTTTATCCTTAGGAGGTCAAAATTACTTCTTCACAATCAAGTTCACATGTTGCCAAAGCACAGCCTGAAAGGTTTGTCAGATCTAGAAATAAGAGGAATTTTCTTGGTGGAAATTCACTCATTGTTCCTCCTACTCTTTTTATTTAGTGTCCAGGGAAGCTGAGATAAATCTGCTTTACATGAACTTCCCTCCCCCATCAGAAAGGAAGTGCTACAGTGAGAAATGATGCTCCTTAACCAACAACTGCTGCTGCTTTCTGAGCCAGCCAGTGTTAATGTAGCTGCTTGTTACATAGGAAAACGGGACAGGATGCACAAATCAAAACACTCAGACAGGCGTGAAAGAGAGAGAAGAAACACAGAAGAAGCCAACCAAATCAAAACATGGGATAGCCACCCAGGCAGGAAAAGCTCTGTGTGTCAGAGCAGCTCTTGGCTTCCTGGCTCCCAGAAAGTCAGCAGGAAATACACAATGTACAACTTACATTTAAGGTAAAATTTCTGTGAAATTTTTGCTTATTTTGATATTTTAATCACATTCAGGTTCCTGATTTCACCAACAAGAAAGAAATTTTAATTTATGTTGTCCATGGCAGTTCAGAGCAGAATCTCCTAGAATTTTCCTAGAATGTACTTTCACAGCCTAAGTGCAAGAGTTTTGGGAAGAAAAACCAAACCCAACCAACCACCAATAACTTTTCACAGAATGATTCCTGAATTTTCATATTAGATTTCACTTTGTATTAACTCCTGGCTTCTCATGCTTTTCTGGGTTTTTTTTAAAGTTCCATTTTTCCCTCCTGATTTGCCCCATTCCCTGCACACAGCAAAAAAAAAATCACTTTATCCTGTATATTTATTAACTTCTTTGTAAACCTTTCCAAACAAAATAATGACACCACTACGTACCTGTAATACTTTTATGAAATCTCCTTTTTTAAAGGCTCATCAAGATCTTTGACAGCTAAACATGCTCTGGTTTTGTAATATTATGTAGGGTGCATACTTTTCATAAGTTCACACTGCAAATATTTTCCCTAATTTGCATTATTTTTCTGTTGAAGCACCCAGTGATGCTGTACACTGGGTTCACTGTTATCCTGAATCACCCCAATCTGCCACAAATCAAACCAGAATTTAATCCACTATCTCCACTTGAAAGACAACCATTTTACATATGCATTTGTTACATCTGGGCCTTTTTTTTTTCCAATACTGAATATTTTGCCAAGCAATAAACTGTGAGACTAAAGCTTTCAGAAATACCAGTTTAATGACCTAAGCTACTACAAAATGTCATCAATTTACTGCAGTTACAGGCTCTGTCCCACAAAAATTATGGTTCTTTTTAAAAATAGGCACAGTGCACACTGCCATTAAGAAATACCAGTAATAATCACAGATTTAGAAAAAAATGCTGAATACCATGTTACCCATCAAAGAATTACAAAGTGAACTGACATGAGCAGTTAGCTACATTGCTTTTCCTACGCCAATGTAACCTCATTAAACCTGATTTTTCTCTCGCGTTTGTCTTCAGCACATTGTTCTGATTACAGCTTCATCACTCTTCAAGCCACTTAAAAAAGCATTACACATCTAAAACCAGAGTGCAGTCATTACACTACAGCTCCAACAGCTACTCATGTATAATTCAACAATTTTTTGCTCTGAATTAGCTTCTTATTCATAGGATCTGGTCTAAATGTTCTTTTTTCCTTAAAACACAAAGAGCTGGGCTATGCTTAGAAAGGGAAGGTCCACCATAGCAATATACTAACAAAACCCTTTAAAATGATATTTTAGCATGTTAAGTGCACTTAACCCTCAGCATTCATCCTGCTCATTTACAGGACATACAAAGGTTACACTCAGAGTGGAGACAAACCTGAAGCAATTGCAAAGCTAAAAGCAGAACCTAAAATGTCCCAAGGTTTGCTCTAATTACCAATGAACTCCCCCCAACAAAATCTCTTGTGCTAAAACATGGCATAAAACCACTCCCCCTTAATCCATTTTTATTGTTAGATCTGAAGTTATTAGCAAATCCATTCAATACTGTTATAAATAAATCTTTCCTTAATACTCACGTCTACTTTTAAAAGTAACTGAAAATTAATACAAGTTCCACAACAGGAATTTTTTATGACTTGCATTTTTTTCATTCCTAAGTTCAAAATTAGCTGTCTGTAGTGGATTTATAAGCAAAATTCCTCTGGAATTTTAAGGACACATTTAGTTTTACATCCAATAAAAAACTATTTTGCAGCTTTGATAAGGATGGAAGACTGGAAATCCAGTCATAATCCTCCCAAGTTCACAACACTGTCAAAGGTAAACCAGGTATTATTCCAAGGGTAAAATTATACATGAATTAACAGCTAAATCCCAGGGTACAGAAAACGTAGATGAGCTGGATGAGGTGCTATGTGTACGCTCTGAATGTACTTTGACTGGCATTTATTTGCTTCTAATCATCAACATGAACTTCAGGAGAGGAGATACTCATTTTCTTTGCTATAATTGACATATAATTGATTAATAAACACCTCCACTCTCTGAAAACTTGGAACTGATGGGCAAATGCTGAAGGACAGGGAAAAGCTCCCATAGCAGAGCAGGATGAGCAGTAAGAATTCCAGCAGAGGCTGAGGTTTCTTGGGCTAAAAATATTAGTTCCCAACACATGGAGCACTGTCAGCATGCCAAAGTTCTCAACCTACACAAAGTGACTTCACTTTTACTGACACAACTTGCTTTTATTAACATAGGCCAACATTTGCCTGCTTGGGGGATGTTTCAGAAGATGAGTAAAATTGTAACTGGCATGTGAGAAAAATACTAGGTGTTACCTGCTGTGGGATAATAAAAAACTGTGCAGCACAATATCTTCAGTTCTGAACACAGTACAGACACAGGCATGTCAAAAGAGGTATTATATGAGATAAAATAGAGCCTCAAGGCTTTCAGGTCTTCTTTTAAACTAGCAAAAGTATTTTCACTCTTCAGCAAGGTGTACCTCAAAATAAAATTTGGCGTTTGTATTACTGCACTGGAATGACATTACTTTTTACATTAAACTGGGAAACGTTCACTTTCTGTTCATTTATTTTACCACTAATTTTAACATTGAGTTAATTTTATCTTTGACACACACCATCTTTTCTCAAATATATGAAAGCCTTTAGCTCAGGCCCTGTATAACTTAGAGCTTCCCTTGCAGCCAGAAGAACTACAGACAGAGAGATGCTGTAGATTCAGATCTCAAGAATTAAGCTGCAATACGCAAAGGATTTGACTAAGGTAGGCTCAAGCCCTGCAAAATCCCTACAGATAAGCCCCAATACTTTGACCTCAATAATTAACCTTATTAGTCATTGCTATCTTTAAAAAGACTTGTCAAGGATAGACACTACTTTCTCACTGAAGCAACAGTGCAGAAATTGCTGGACATGCACAAGACAGGAATACAGGCAGGGCAGTGTTACAGTGGCCTTATTCAAGAACTGCAAATTATTGGAAAGTTATTTCATTTCATTAGTTATTCAGCACCACATGAAAAGTAACTGTATGTGGTACAACAGCCTCTCTTTTTCTGTGAGTGTACACACACACATATATATACATTTTATATATATATATATATATATATTTAAATATCAGTAAAGTAGCTCATTACCTCTTCCACCTAGGTTAAATTGTAAATCTAAGAGTGGCAATGTCATTTCTACCTACCCTTTTGTTATTACCAATAGTGTATTTATTTGGTCTACCTCGCCATACACAAAGTCATTGTAGAAAACTTTTCATACAAACACATCCCATTTGTCAGCCAGGTGGGACAAAGCAACACTGAAGTAATAACGTGAAAAATCCCTTTGAGGATGTTATCTCAGTTTTGTTTAATTGATTTTCAAAATGTCCCTTTAACCTCTAATTTGTATAGCTTAAACCTCATTCAGAAGGTTTAAGCTGGACAGAGGCAGCTGCAATTTAAGGCTGCTTCTCCAAACAAGATTAGTTTCAGATAATTTAAAAAAGCACACTCTTCTAAGATGATTCTCTTCTTTTTACCACTGGAGGAAAACACCATCATCTTTTCTTCAGAACTTTCTTCCTCCTCTGCAGTTTGAACAAGCACTCTCCTCTGGAAAAGACTCCCATTTACAAATTTTTTGACTCCAAGGCTGTACATGCCCAGACACGACCAAGTCACATACACTTTCCAACCTCAGAAAAATTTCAGGAAATTACTTTTAGACAATTTTCAGACTTTCAAATAAATTATATAAAAAACAAGAGAGATAATTGACAGCAAAACAATGAATTTAATATCTGACATGCAGCTGCATGCAGCTAACCTTTGTGTTTCCCTTTTTTCTCCTTTCTGGTGCTGCTACTCTGACAGCTCGCAGCTGCTGCCTTGGTTTTTTTAGTTGGTTTCGGAGCTTGGGTGTCCACTACCACCTTTACATCTTCCTGTTCAGCCTCTTGCACTGCTTCAGAGATTCAGGGTACCCCACCAAAAAAGAAAATAAACAGAGAGAAAAGAGAGAAACAGAGAGAGACGAGAGAATGAATGGAGAACTTCGCAAAGGCATTAAAGAGAAAGCAAACATAGCAGAGTTTGGTATTTCAGACAATTCATGCAGTGAGGAGAACCAAGTAAACCAGAATTTGCAAAGCTGGAGTAAAAATCTCAGTGTTAGGTTAGCTGAGATATATTTCCTTACATTTTTCTTCTTCACAATAATATATCAACTCATAATTTCCAGTCCAAAAGTGACATCAGAATATTATTGTATTACTGAGCTATTGTAGAAGCATTTTTACTCATAGTAAAGCTCTGCCAGAATAATCATCAACAGTGGCAGCATGAAGGCAGAAAAATTTTATTTTGATTTTGTAGCATCCATGCTTAAAGCTACATCCTAACTCTCTAAACAGGGAATCATCTGAAGGTTACTTTCAAAGCATATCTTGCACAGTCGTGTAACACAGCATGATGAGTAGATTGGCCATGCATTTTAGGGTGAAATTATACCCAAGCTGAATTTAAAAACTCTCCCTCCTTTGTAGCATGCACAAATTTATTAAATCCTTGGAAGGTCTCCCTACAAAATATGCATGGCATAAACTGTGAATATCACCATAATTCATGCAGTGTTCCTTGTTTTCAAAGTAAATAGAGGCTTTATCATTTTCCTAAAAACATGACACACTTTGAGGTCAATATTTGAGTCTCTGAAAGCAGCACACACCATAACTCTTTCCTTTGGCTAGACCAAACCTCGAAGTTAGATAAATATCACAATTGCCTTTGTGAAATGCATAAAGAAACTGGCAAACTTCACCACAAAACTATAGGTGGGCACCAAGAGATTTTGGGGGTTGGCTGCTGGTCACTGCTAAGTGCTAAGCCCCACTGGCTTCATGTCGTGGCCATAGTTTCTCTCCCTGGCATATGGGCCTCCTACCCTTTCCTTTTCCCAAAACTAAAGTACTTTATTTAAAAGGATAAAAAAAAGTCCACTAAAGACCATTATGGGAAATAACTGGTTGCCCTAAAACAACTTTTAAAATATCCAGACAAACTTCTTAAATGCCCAACAGACTAAATGATTCTCAATGACGTGTGGACTGACACTATTCTCTCTCTGAAGGGGAAAATTCTCCCTAAGCTTCTGGTCTGTGAAGCAACTTTCCTCTTCAGCAAATCCTTCAAGCACACAAATAGAAATAGAAACACCAGGGAGATTCTCAGAGGAGAAAGATGAAACAGATTGAGTCATGTCTGTGTAGACTGCAGCTCCCAAACCCGCTGCTACCCTCCCCAGCACAGCAATCTGTTATGAGTAGCATTGCATTCACAACACAGTAGGCACCTGAGGCACTCAAATACACGCTCCTTTTCTCATTGTGCAGAGGAAGGGTTCTGTTCCACAGAGGATATACATTAAATTATTAGAGGAGAGACTTGATGTCCAAAGAAACAGCTTGTCACTGCCCAATTTTTCACGTCTGCCTTTGTCAAACACTAATCACAGGACTGCAATCCCTTTGCTGAGTGGAAAGGAGCACTGGAAATGAATAGGACAAAATCAAAGGAGTGAGTGCACAGGGGAAATGGCACATAAAAGACACTACACTGGGTCCTACCTCCACAGGCATTGCAGCCTCAGACTATGCAGGGAACCAGAGTCAGCTCCCCACAGGCTTTAAATAGGTGTGACTTGCCAACCCAGCACCTATGCTATATTTGTACCTCAGTCTCTCTTTAAAAACGAGGCTGTTTTTAAAAGGTCTTTCAATTGTTTTGAAGATGATAATCCATGTTATAATTGAATTCAGTACTTTACAAATAATCTATAATAAATGGCCAGGCAGTTCTCTAAACCATTTTAAATCTGGCTGTATTCATTCACTCAGAAGCACCATTTATTTGCTCCACAGCAATTATCTATCAGCAAAGGATGAAACTTTCTGACATTATAAATTGCAAAGTTAAAGACTTATCTTCTCTATCTTGCCAGCCATTCTTTCATCTTACAAGTAAAGTCCCGATTTTTTTGAGCTATTTTTGCCTCAAAACTTTTAACAAGAGGTATCTGATAATAAGTTCAGTGAGGGAGCTCCAAAGGACAGAGAAGGGAATATTTCCATTGCTTTACTCTATGAGGCAGAGAACAGGATTCCAGCCCAGTAGCCATTCTGAGCATATACCTTGGCTGCAGTCTGTGGTAAATGGGCCTTTCAGACACAAGTGATGGAGGCTGCAAAATAAGATTTAAATCATAAAGATAATGACACTGTGCCTGGGTTCATGAAAGGAATTGGCACAGAATGTCCTGTTTCTAAAGAATACATTTCTGAGCATTACCATTACGTTTAAAGTACTCCCTCTATAATAAATCCAAATTTAATTCCAACATGCCATCTCCACCACTAAATCATCTCATTCTTAGCTTTTAGCTAATAGCAAGCAGACTTCAGCTAAGGCTCACCCACTCACTCATGTTTTCTCTGGTGTTGTCTGCAGATACCAAAGAAAGTTTGCTTTCTGTAACAATTCAGTTCAGGGCACATCCTTGCTTTTAGGCAAGCTCCTGTCAACAGGCCAGCCAGGATTTGAATCCTTACAGCCTGCAAACCCAAAGGGACAGGTCTATGAGCCTCCTCTGCTCAGCTGGTCCAGCAGCCTTGGATGTGGAGCAAAGTGAAAAATCCTGTTTTCTGTTTCCAGTGCTTTCTCCTGCCCTAGAGAGTTGGAAGAAGGACCATTCCTAAGCCCAGCTCTGCAGCTGGTCATTAGCATGTGCAGCTTTGAACTTCTCCAACCAGCATTCCTTCCAGATTGCCTTTGTGGAGATGAAGCAAGTCAGAGAGGCAGTGTTTATCCCCAGCCACGTTGTCAGAGGATCAACTGTCTTCCCCTCTGCCCTCTGCTGCATCATTGGATCATTATCTAACAGACTGACAAGAATTTCCCTTCTCAGCAGGATGGAAACCTTGAGGTTAACTCTAGCCTACATTCTCCACAGGCTCTAGATAGCCCATAAAACAATTTACAGTTCTTTTGCAAGAAAGCTTGAATAAGGAAAATGAGAGAAACTGGCTCCCTAAATAATATTCACTGATACAAAAATATGATTATGTCCTTCGCTGGACATCAAAAAGTTAAAAACAATGATAGACAGCACCAGAGGATAAATAAATTAAGAACTTTAAATGCAGCTATATGGGGATGACATTTCAAAGATTGTCACTTTAAAATGCATTAATTTCAGTACAGATACCCATTTAGGCAGCTTTAAAAATCCCTACTGACATTATCTTAAACAATAGCAGACTAGATTTGAAAATCTAGCCTGATACTTCATATGCCCCACCCTGGACTATTAAATTTTCATTTTAAAAACCCAGAGAGTTTCCTTTTCCATAAGAATTATTTGTTTGCACTAGAATTTACATTCAGACAAGAAAAAAATGGAGGAGCAAGTGCTGTAGTGAGTCAGCATTCCAAACAGAAAAATCCACTGGAGTCTCAGACCTGGCATTTCACTCTAGTTTGAACTTATTAAATTTTAAAAAAAATTGGTTTTGAGATAAATGCCAAGCTTACAACTAAAACAACTATGTGACTTTAATTTCAGTATTTTTCATCTATGTTCATTAAATCAAGTACTGACTACTAACCTCAATAAAGTATAAAAAAAAAAGTATTTTTCGGGAGACAGAAGGGAGCACAGATTGCAATATTAATTCAGGATCTGAGATGAAAAGAAAGAGGACCAAACAGCAAATAATCTGTTAACACAATACAGGTGAGTATAGAAGGGCTTTGTCAAGGCAGACAAGGGCAGGGTCCCAGCTTTGCCTTGCACCACCAGTGGCCTAATTCAGGAAAGGGGAAAAAAGAAACCTCTCCATGAACCAGTTCTGTGATGGACAACACTCCAGGTGACAGGGGTAGAGCTACAATGCACAGGCAATTAAAAGGATGCTGTTTATAAGCATGTTAGTAATCTATGATGCAGACAACTCAAGTTTTTTTTTCAAATCTGTAAATTACCCACATATATTTATGTGAGTGAATGAAAATGTAAATCATGTCTTTCCATTTGGCCTTCATTATGAGAAGTTCACACAAGAAATAAATTTCAAAGTAGCATGAATGAAAATGCAGATTTCTTTTTGCCATTTGTATGACCATATTTCTTGATATGAGTGCTTGTATACTCTTATGATCTTAGAGAAGGAAAAAAAAATCTATGAATCATAACTTACCAATCTCTATCACATAAAAATGCCATGTGCTAAAAAAGGGCGCTTTTGATCGGTACATTGTGCGAAGAATGGAGTAAACGAAAAATCACAAAAAGAAAAAACAATTCTAAAATCGTGCAGTCTGTCTGGAAAACACTAAGTAGAAAGAGGCTGAACCAGACAATGAGGTATGTGAGGCAAGTATAAGGCAAATATTCATTCTATTTATCAACATCCTCTCAACAATAAAAGTGAAACCCAGAAAAAGTACCATGCAAAGAAAGATCAACTACAGTTCAGTCAGGGTGTACCTTAACAACTCAATGTTAATTTTGTCCTTCTCTTGCTGTTGCTTGGGAAGCCCTTGTGTTTCACTGTAAGAATGTAAGATTTGATTCCTGTTTCAAAATGCTTATAATCAAAGACATTACTCCTTCAGGTAGTAACCTCCAGTCAGATTCCAGATTCCCAAAACCTTATTGCCAAAAAATTCCCTAAGGCTCCTTGCAGTTTATGCCTCTAAAGTGATGCGATGACCAGGCTGATGTTGCAAACCTGAAAATACTCAGAAGCAAAATGGAATGGGTTTTTTAGTGCTCTTAAAAAAGGAACCAATGCACCTGGGAACCTGGTGCTGCTTAAGGACATTATTAAAAGCTCATTGGTCTAAGAATTCCTCAGAGAGAGCAAGGGAAGGAATTAAATAAAAGATTCTTCTAAACCCCCAAGAACC